TTTTTTTTTGCTTCTTAAGGAATCTACAGTGTGTGAGGATGATTTACTTTGATATTTAGATTAATTAATATCTATAAACTGATTGATTATCATTGATAGTTAAGAAAAATTCAATTCAATTTTGGTTACATGATTTTGTATCATGAAAATTTTCTTTATCAAAATGTCTTTCTCGAAAGCTGCTATCAATTTCTGCCATATCATCAAAGATGGAGTAACATCATATTAAATAATAGAAGACAAAGATTATCACTAACTCAGATAGATAAGATGATTGTCATTAGAAATGCACAACAAGGACTAACAAACATATAATATAAGTTGATTGAACAAATCAGTGAATAGTTTTTTTTTTGTAATTTACTAAAAAGAAATAAATGCAATATAATAAGCATTTAGATGCATTTGTGCACTAATTTTCTTTTTCATAAGTAACAGAGAATAATTAACTTAGAAATTGTTTACATACAAGTGATAGATTGTGATGACAGGTTTCCAATCGTGATGAATATCTCTAGTTCGATTGTCTTAAATGAGAGATGTCAAACTGTGATTACGTCAATAGTCTTACTTCATCAGCAAACTTGGTATATTGGCTTACCTTCTGATAGAATGAAACATTAGCTATGACTAAAGAGTTGATGATAATGGATCTCATCAAGTTATAGTGTCTCCTACATGACATCACTCTTGTATGAATTCAATACGAGTAAAGTTTTCATTCATTTACTATATTGAATTTTCATCTATGTATTTATTATCTAACTTGATGTGTTTTTTCTTATATATGTATAATTTTTGTTGTTTTGTCGTTGAATATATATAATATTCTTCTATTGTGTCATTTCAATATCGTAGGTTTTTTGTGAGAATGACTTAATTGAATACATGCATATTGTGTTGAATTCATGATTCATAATATAATATCTCTATATCGGTCCGACTAAAAGTCCTGATAACATTGTTGAAAATTTTCTAAATCATATATTATATAAAGAATTCTCCTAAGTATTCTTTGATGATTGTGTATTGTTGTGCTTGGATTTGTAATATAGCCTTTATAAGTATTTATATTTCAATAAAATAACACGAAACGCGTTGGTGAATTGAACTTTGCATTTTTTAAATACTTCTAATCAAAGCAAACAAATGTATCATTCTATTGTTATTTAATTTTCGAATTAATTAATTATTGAACAACAAAATTTGAGATTAACAGTTTGAACTTGTCTTTTCGTCAAGAGTTAAATCGATCCATTTTCGATTAATTTACCCACACCCCAAAATATATGTATTTTATTAAGAAATGAAAAAAAAAATTAGTGTAATGATAATTGACGAAAAAAAATTACGATACATATCAGCTATGGCTTCTATGTGAATAGATATAAAAACTAAAAGTGAGTTCTTTCTAAAATATGAACACATGAGTAAAGATAAATGAAGAAAATATTGTTCAAAGTTTTATTGAGATCGATTAAGCTTAACTTTGGATGCATGTGAATGTTTGTATGCGATGATTCGTTGCGTCAGCCACGTATAAATTACCCTGTGCGTCGATGTCAACTGCAGAGGGATTATTTAGTTGGTCGTTACCAGTGCCAGCAGTTCCAGTTCCTGCAATGATCCTACCGGTCTTGGTACCATCCGTTGGTGAACCAAATGGAAACAGTATTATGCGATGATTTCCTGTATCGGCTACAACTATATTTCTATTTGAATCGAGTGTTACACCTCGGGGAGCACTTAGTCTGTTCAAGGCAGTACCAGCCGTTCCAGCCGGATCACCAGCAAGAACTAAGAATGTATTGGTTGCTAAAAACCATTGAATGATATTATTAGCATCACGGTTTGCGATTATAAGACTATTTGATGATGCATCGTAAAAGATACCAGTTGGTGCGTTCAATGGATTAGGGGGAACAGCTGCATTAGTGCCAGCAACCACAGCAGAAACCACTGGAGTTGAGAGTGTGTATTGTATCACTCGATTATTGGCTCTATCAGTGACGAAAATTCTGTTCGAGTTAGCATCATATGCAATACCAGCCGGAGCATTTAATGCTGAAAATACACGCATATTTCATTGAAATGTAACAATATTTGAAGAAACTTTTCGAATAACTTCTTTCACAAAACATGATTTCATTTAAGGAGAGACTAGTGGGGTATTCAGGATTTTTCAAGCATTGGACAAAACTCGAGCATAGCTCGATCATAGACTGAGTTGCTATAGATAATCGTAAAAGCTTACTGAGCAATTATTCGTAAAATATCGTTTCGATCTAACGAGTACTGCAAACAATCGAATATTCTTACTCTAGAATTGAAAAACTATTCTCTAGTGTATGAGATCAATTTTAAGGGATAGTTTTTTGCAAAGGTTTACATTTTACACAAATGGTAATCGAAAACTTTACAGATACATATTCAGGCATAGCCGACTTTCAAAAATTAGAACGGCTACAATTTGTCATTTAATTCAATGAAAACTTATTCAAGCAATGTATCTTTCCAAGCTATCGCATAGCAGTAAGTTCTTTTGTGAGCATGAAAATCTCTAATTTCGAAACAAAAGTGAACATTTGTTTTTGAACTATGAACATATGTTCCACGTAGAAGAATGCACAGATAACATTATCGATAGCAGCAACTGTCACAAAGAGTTTTTGAAAACTTTGATCAGTAAAAGTTAGATTTGAATTTAAATGATTTGAGAAAAAATGATCCTTCATCTATATTTTGCTGTCGGACATAGCGAAGTTTTTAATGATAATTTATAAAATTCAATTCTGAACATTAATCATCCTCAAAATGCAACAGTTTTCATATCTTATGCTCGCAGACCTGGAAATTCATTCTTTATTGAATGATTCTTTATAGAAAGTAGCAACGGTTTGAAAGGTAATTAAACAGTTTGAGTAGAAAAACGACTATTCAATTGAACATCGGAATTCACGTATTATCGTTAAAAATCCAAAAATTATTCCTATCGTATTTTTTCACGTCGAATATGGCTACACTCTGATCTAGTGACTTGAACAACTACGAAAATAGTTTAAGATGGGACATACTTTTCAAGAAACACAATAAAAATGTACAAGAAAACTGAGCAACAATAAAACTTACTATTTGTATATAAAGGGTGTTACATAAGTTTCGATTCCTGTTTTAGTTGTTTTTTGTATCTTGGTCATATTTGAAGTTGGACAGATATTTAATATATGTATCTGAGTAGTAACACAAATCATCAACCAAAATAAATTGGGTCCAGTTTGCATAAACCCAAAGAAAGTACTACATTGGTAAAAGTATTGAGAAAATTTTATCAAAGTAATTTTTTCGACGCGATCGAACGTTGCGGAATTTCATTTATTCGTCGTTGATGAGTTATATCTCCGTGAAGACAGAAGTAAGGATTCTGAAATTTTCAATGTAAGTAGGCCTTAGTTAGATCTATCATCGATATACCTTTCATTTATTTTGGTTCAACTATAAATGAGTTATGCTCGAAATACTAACCATTATGCAATTTTCGTTTTTTGAAATTTCGTAATGTTCATTATTTTGAGAATAAGCCAGTTATGGCTGGACCAAAATAAATGAAAGTTGTGTCGATGATAGATCTAACTGAGGCCTACTTACATTGAAAATTTCAAGGTCTTTGCTTTTGTCGTCATGGAGATATGGTTCATCAAAGACGAACAAATGAAACTTCGTAATGTTTGACCACGTCAAAAAAATTACTTTGATAAAATTTTTTCAATACTTTTACCAATGTAGTACTTTCTTTGGGTTTATGAAAACTGGACTCAATTTATCTTGGATGACGATTTGTATTACTCTTCAATTACATATATTCAATATGTCATTTAATTAGCACGTATTATGTAGCAACTGAAGACTTCTGCAGAGCATAATATTTACATAGTTGTGCACGCGTAGCTAAAGCTTTTGAATTATATATATTGGAGTTGAGGGTGAGAATGAAGAAAAGACTCTCATCTTCAAAGTAGACTAGGTCTTGTGGAATATCTGGTAAAATGTTTGTTGCAGAATATTGTACTCATGAGAAGCTATGCGATCCAGATTGTTGTTACAAGATTTCTAGAAAAGTGAGGCCACCAGTAAAATGGTTGCAAATGTGTTGGAACTCGATGAAATCCACTCATATACTGCATGCTTAAAGCCCTATCGATCAGCTATACGTCGTTAGGTAACACAGTCGAAAGTTTTGTAACTTCTGCAAAAGATCAGAGCCTTGGGTGTGAATGACATCGAGTTTTAGATCTCATGAAATAGCAAATGTGTTTAGACTACAGTTTGTGTCACTAATAGGAGTGTATTAAGAAAGGCATCTTTGCAAAGGTTCAGCTAATAGAACCTTAAGAAGCTTGAACCCCAGTGTAGCGGATACTTGTGAGCAACACTCTAGAAAGTTAGTATCTAGAGAAGAAGGCTTATCGTTGAATATAACTCTTCGAGTATACTCTAACAGTCATTTGATCTAAATGTGAGAGCAAAATTTCAGATGGAAAATACTTTATATTATGTTTCTGTACGTGCCGGTCAAGAAATGGAAAATCTTGTAAATTGCTGACGACTCAGTCCCATCTGTCCGTAAATACAAGTATTTAAAAGCTTCTTTTCGTACCATTCACGCTTACTAATCGACAATAAATTAGCTTGAAGTTAAGAAAACAGTTCAACTACTTTGATCATTACATGAAATTATAGGTACGAGGTTTATAACATAATCATTTCATTATTCTTTCTCTAAGTCAGCATTTGATCTCAGTTCTTCTTTTCAATTTAATTGAAATTTTTTTTCCGACTATCTATTTTAGCTAGTTCGATTTCAAGTAACTTTTGAAGAAAATTACACTATATATTCTTTATCAGGAAGACAAAACGAGACAAATGTTTCTTGATCAAAGAATAGAATGTCATCATTTGATCGAAACGATATAGAAGACCAGCACTTGCTTTAATAAATGTCGAAGGAATTCAAAACTATTAAAAGCTAACTTAAATACACACTATCCACGTCTTAAATATTTTACAGAAACTGTCTATTAATCGAAATTACTCTGCAGATTCTTTGTTTTTTCCTGTTTTTCATGATAAATCAATGAATTTTATGTTATGCACAATTGATCACAAAAAATATCGCGATCTTTTCAACTGAAGTCGTCTAGGTCATCATTTGAACCTCAAACCACCTTACTTGGTCCGGTAACTGTACTGCCTTGAGTTGTTCCAAGTGTCCAGACTTGAACTCGATTATTAACGGTATCTGCCACATAGATATTGTTGTTTACGTCGACAACAACACCTTCAGGTCCACTGAGCTGAGTTACACCGTTTCCTGCGGCTCCACCTGTTTGACCAGCAACTGTTGTACCCTGGTTAGTACCTATCACGAATCTTTGGATTCTGTTATTTGTTGTATCAGCGACAACAAATGTATTGGCTGTATCCAAAAATATATCACGAGGAGTGTTGAGGCTGTTGGCATTAGTACCAGCAGTATTCGTAACGCCTGCTACAGTCGTTCCTGTTGCAGTCCATTGAAGCGAACAGACAGGAGCTAAAAAAATATACAGAACTTCAATATGGAAATATAGCAGCAGAACAGGATGACATATAAGCTTTATACAATGTGTAAAATGCGGCGTGTATGTGTGCTGAATTTTCAATTGATATTCGTTAAACTAATAAGATCTTTCAAGCAATAAAAGTTTTTTTCTAGGCCACAGCTGGCATTTCGAAATATAGAAGCTTTTACTTGCTTTGGAACAGGAATAAGGCGTGCTTCCAACTAATCTCGATATCATCGCAACATAACATACGTAAATCAATACAAACTTCGAGAGGATTAAACTCAACAACACATGAGCGAAACGATTTTGAATTTCTAGGAACAATCACTTTTTATCACACTAATCTACGCTATGACTATTCACCAATTTGTCAATTTTCATCATCCCCACAAAAATAAAAGTTACAAACATTCAAATCACTGTTCAGGGAACTTATTGTAGATTGACGAAAACCTATACGAATAATTGTAAAACATTTATACCATCTCGGGACGTGTATCTCTCTGATATAGTTTGCAAGAGGTGAACAAACACATCAATTTG